GGGGGAAAGAGGAGGAGGAGGAGGAGGAGGAGGAGGAGGAGGGTCGCCACCCGCTTGGGAAAAACCTGAAGCTCGGCCGAACTCTGTAGCGGGACGAGAACCTATCACAGAAAAGTCAGAGAAAGAAGCGGGGAAGGAGAGGAAAACAGGCAGAGAAAGAAAGAAAAAAAAAAAAAGCACAAACGCAGTCCAAGCGAGACAGGGCGTAAGGAGAAACCCCCACCCTCCAGAGAAAACAGAAGCTTTCTTAGAAACCCAGTGTTAAAACAGAAGCCACTCAGACTGCGTTCCTTCCCCCTCGCTCCCTCCGGGGAGAGAACGAGAACGATCATCAATGGCTGGCGGCAGTCGCACCAAAGCGACACCAAGAGCCGGCTTCACGCTCAGGAAGGAACGCTACGCCTCCTCCTCGTGGTTTCTGGTACTCTACACGATCAGAGAAGCTTCTCTAGTCACCAACTATAGAAATGATCCCTGAAAGTATAGCCTTAGCCCACACCCCCTCGCCTTTCCTGCCTCCACCACACGCACACACATCGCACCCATGGTGAGTTCCTCCTGGGAACGCCACTTCACACACACGCGTGTTCATGTGTCCCCCGAGGAAACCGTTTTCTCCCTCACCAGGTCCCACAAAGCCCTCTGAACGCTCTTCGGCCCTGGCCTTTTCCAAAAGTAATTCACCCTGTCGGTTCAATTAACATACAGTTGCGAAAACAGCCAATCACGAGCCATTTACTTCTAGCCCCGCCCACCAGCCGCTTCTCACGCGTCACGCTCACCGCCAACTATCGCGCCCGCCCCGGCGCTAGGAAACCTCCCCTCCGCGGCAAACCCCGGTTTGGACCCCTGGGCCCGGCAAGGGAGGCCTCTCGCCAGGAGGAAACAAAACGAAAAGTGGACGGTGAGAGCCACCGTACAAAGCCAAAGACTATGGCGTCCGCACCTCGTGCCCTGGGTTCCCACTCCCAGTCAAGGAATTTGCACTCTACGAATGACACGGCTGTGTTTAAACGAACGAGACTATTTTATTTTATTTTATTTTATTTTATTTTATTTTATTTTATTTTATTTTATTTTATTTTATCCCCCCGCCTTAAATTGAAAACTTGGCTGGCTTCCCGTTGCTTGGGTTAAAGACGACGCTTTTCTACATCCGTGCGAGGCCCTGCGTGCTGTGGCTCGCGCTCCCCGAGCTCGCAAGGGCTCCCTTCTGCCCCCTGGCCGGTCCACAAGCCGCTCTCTCCAGCGGGGGGAGTCTTCCCTCCACTTAGCTTCCGTTCACCATTCAGGCATCTGTCTGTCCTAGGGCCTCTGTCTCCCTGAACCTTCCCGTCGACCTTCTTCAGCAGGTCGAACACCTACCTCCCTTTGTGTGACTGTTTCATGAACGCCCGCCACGTGCATGAGATTTAAGGCTCCCAAGAGTAGAGTAGGGACTACGAAGGGCTTTGTGAGCTCTCAAAACCCCGGAGCACCTACTACCCAAAGAAGGAATCCACGTGCACACTCCCGGGCTGGACAGGGACCTCTGACTTCCGTCACTGGTCATTCTTAAACTGCGGCGGTGGGATGCGTCCCCCAAGACACTACCCAAACAGCGGTGACTTAAAGATGAAGCCCCGAGCTCCACTAACATCGTCCGTGTGAGGGGGGTGGGTATTGGGGACTGAACCCAAGCCCTTTGCACTGAGCCACATACATCCCCAGCCCTAATTGCCCAGGGTGGACTTGCATGTATTTGAAAGCCTTCTTGTCTCAGCTTCCCAGAGTGCTGGGATAGCACGTTTGGGGTACCACACCTAGTTCCACTAAACCTTTTAAGAAGCAAGTTGAGGAGCCGGGCGTGCTGGCGCACGCCTATGATCCCAGCACTCGGGAGGCTGAGGCAGGAGGGTCGCTGTGAGTTCCAGACCAGCCTGGGCTACATAGTGAGTTCCAGGTCAGTCTCAACTACATAGTGAGACCCTGTCTCAAAAACAAAAAACAAACACACACACACACACACACACACAGGGTCTTGCTGTGTATTTCAGCAAGACCCTGGTGTGTGTGTGTGTGTGTGTGTGTGTGAGTGAGAGAGAGAGAGAGAGAGAGAGAGAGAGAGAGACAGAGACAGAGAGAGAGAGACAGACAGACAGACAGACAGACAGAGACAAAGACAGAGACAGGCAGGAAAGAAGGATAAGAACAAGAAGCATGTCCTAGCTGAACCAGAAACACAAAGAAGCAAATTAGATTACCAGATGCTCTCACATTTGGAAAGCTGTCCACCTTCATGAATACAGATGTCCCGAGGGGGACCGACTCCAGGACCCCCGTGCAGATTCCAAATTCCACAGAGGCTCAACTCCCTTATAAACAATGGCAGAGCATTGGTCTCAACCTACTTATATCCTCCTGGTATACTTTGTTTTTGTTTTGCGTACCAGGGATCCAACGAACTCAGGACCTTGCACTTGAGGCAGGCGGTGGCACCAGGGAGCCAAACCCTGGTCCCCGGTATACTTTTTTGCTGTTGTTCTTCCTCCCCGCATACTTTAAATCATCTCTATGATCACACTGCATTTATCTTGTATTTTCAGCAAATAGTTGTTATGCTGCATTTGTTACAGGAAATAATACTGGGGATGAAATATGACATACTGTATCTCCCAACCTGTTTAGCTGTACAATACACCGAGTTGTTTTCTGTTTTGTTTTGTTTTTGGTACCGGGGATCAAACTCGGGTCCTTGCGCTTGCGAGGCAGGCGGGCGGCAGAGCCACTGAGCTAAGTCCCCGGCCCTACACCGAGTTGTTCTTCTCTAGAAATCAAAGAATGAGTCCCAGGAACAACGACGGAGATTAAGAGTAGGAAGATATTTATTGACAGGAAAGCTCTCGAGGGGCAGGGGGGGCCCTGGGTGGGTAGCCGGGGACCCCCACTTTGCAGAGGACTTTGGTTTGGTTTGGTTTGGTTTGGTACCAGGGATCAAACTCAGGACCTTGCGCGTGCGAGGCAGGCACGTTGCCACCGAGCTCACAGAGGAGTTGTTTTATAGGGTAAAGCCCACGTGGGTACAGCGTGGGCCACAGCCATGAACATCCAATAAGGTTACAAGTACAGTCACTTAGGTAACGGTGGTCCAATTGGGGAAACGAGTGACGTAACAAGTGTGGATGCAAAGAACGAGCATTCTCCTAGGAAGCGGGGGTGGTCCAGAGGTCTCTGGTCACCCACACCAGGGTGGCTGATGTCTGCCTAGACTTCATTAGGCCCAGTGTTTGTTCTTGGAGGAAGTATGTAGATGTGGTCATCTTTGTCTGTGTTCTGAGGCCTGGTTTTCATCCGACGTGTCTCCCAGGCAGTTGTGGCGTGTGTGTTTCACACACACCACCCTATCTACCTAGAGGACCTAGCCCTATCTACCTAGCTCATCTATCTATATTTGTTTAAGGCACAAGGACAAGAAAAAAGCCTCCACATGTTCAGTACTGATGCAATCTTCCTTCCTCCTCTTTCCTTTGGCAGGTACTGGGGACTGACTCCAGGAACATCACACTGGGGTACAACCCCAATCCTCCAAAAAAGAAAAAAAAGTTTTGGACAAGGTCTCACTATGTAGCCCGGGCCAGCCCCAAACTCAGAGTGATCCTCCTGCCTCAGTCTCCCCAGTGTGGGGAGTACAGGTTTGTGCCACCACGCGGCCTCCCCACCCACTTCTAAAGACAGGACCTCCCTAAATTGTCCAGGCAGGGCTCAAACTTGTGATCTTCCTGCCTCAGCATCCCCAGAGCACTGGGATTACAGGCCTGCACCACCACTCCATGCATAGATGAAATTTTCTTAATAAATATTTTCAGGGCAGGGCGTAGTGGCACACGCCTGTAATCCCAGCACTCGGGAGACTGAGGCAGGAGGATCGCTGTGAGTTCGAGACCAACCCGGGCTACACAGTGAGTTTCAGGAGGTCCGTCTCAACTACATAGGGAGACCCCGTCTCAAAAAACCAAAACAAAACAACAACAACAAAAAAAACCCAAAAACAAAAAACCCAAGTCTGTCTCTCTCTCTCTCTCTCTCTCTCTCTCTCTCTCTCTCTCTCTCTCTCTCTCTCGATATATCTATAGCTATCTAGATAGATATTTATATATTTTTGGCCAGGTGCACACCTGTGATCCCAGGTACTTGGGAGGATGAGATAGGAGGATAGAAAGTTCAAGGTTAACCTGGGGAATTGAGTGAGATGTGCCACAGCCCAGCCCGCGTGGCTGAAGGGCTCAAGGACTGAGAAATGAGGGTGAGAGATTAAGACAGACAAAGAAATATAATAAGGTACAGGCGGGGCCAGGTGGGGCTCTAACTCCTGATGGGAGGAAAAGACCACCAAGCAAAAGGCCGCAGGTTTACTTATAGTGGGAGAGTTAGGGAAGCCAGGGGGAGGTAAAAGAGGTTGGTCTGTAACCGGAGCTAAGGTCTGCGGGACAACATGTTTGATGTTTCTCTGGCGAACGGGGCCGGGAAGGAAGAGAGTCCTCTTCTCGGCCAGGCCTTTCTCCACCATCCGCTCTTGTCGCCTGTTCTCCTCCTACCCGCGGGAGGACGCAAACAAGATGCGTGTTCCTCGTTCCACCCGAGGAGGAACGAGTTAGGCCTGGCCATGGGGATCTACACCGTAATGCTCCCAGCAGAGACGCTGTCTCAAAAATAAAAATTTCAGAAAGGGTTGGGAGTGCAAGTCAGTGATAGAACGCTTGCACAAAGGGCCTGGGTTCAATCTCAAGCACCTACCACCAAAAGCCAAAACAACAACAAAAATTTCTTTTCATGAGGGTTCGGCTGAGTAGTACAAGGATGTACACTCAATCCGTGAACACCCAGAGCCAACCGCACTGAAAGACACTTTGTGAAATTAACATGTACTCCGCCTCCTCGGTGGCCGGGATTTCTCAGGCGTGTATTTCAGACCCCTTTCTTGCTGAAACGGACGAACTCAACATGTTTACCAGCAACTTCAGAGCTTGCAAAAAGGACTCTAGTGGGAAACGGAAGTACGTAACTGTACTGTGTCATTAAGAGAGAATTAGGAAGGCTGAGGGCAGTGGCGCAGTCCTGTAGGTTGCAGTAGAACGGCGAACTGGGAGCCTCGCGTGGGCCACTGAACGCAAAACTTTTCCACCGAAGGAGAGTTCACACAAGCAGAGTCTGTAGCCACCTGCTCAAACTTGAGTACAAATACACAAGCGTTTGAAAGGCAGGGTAAGGGTCTGCGAAGAAGACCCACCCCGGGGGAGACAAGGACGAGACTCGCGAGAGATTAAGAGTTAAATTTAAGGCCTACACAGACCAGACAAGACAAGGACAAACAAGACAGACCCAGGAAAAGCAACAACAACACCAACAAAAAAAACCTAAGCGACGTCGCTAAGAAAGAGCCCCGGGACACAAAGTAATAGGGATCTACTCCCTCACTGACTTGCAAAGAAAACCGGAAAACTTAGCGTAAGG